AATTCACATTCCAGGGCCTAAATATCACGTTATTGGGGTCGCTTCAACCTGCTGACATAAAAAACAACCGGCGGCAATCGCGGATTTGGCAACACTGGTCCGCAAACTACGTTTCATATAACTCCTCCCCGAACTTCCCTCTGCCCTGTATCTTGGTCTCTCATTGGCTGTAGGTCATCGCCGATGTTGTTTTCAGTCAGAAATCATTTCACACAGCGTGATTGTGAATCGCCGACAGCTCCAGATATTTAGCATGCCGAATATTTCACGAGTGTCGGCGACGTGTTGGCGATTCTCTCAGATCGCGTCTTTGATAAATCACACTGCGTGATTGTCACTCGTGTGAACGAGCACCGATTTGCCTCCGATTTCGGGCATTTGTCGGCGATTTCGCAAAACACAAAAAAGTGTGAACTCGGCATTAATTATCCATTTTGACATTTCATATTTTTTGTCCCATCCATTGCTATGGTTATCACTGTCAATCACTGCAATTTTGAAAATGAATCCCACAAATTTTGTAGAGTCATTTACAACAGCTTCGAACGCAGCTCAGCCAATCAGAATCAAGCACCGGAACTCTCCGCTTTATAAGTGAGATTTTTCTCGACCCAGACGTCCACTTCATGTAAACGGTGAACTTTTGAGATCCGCAGGCAGCTTCAGCTGGTGAATTGAGTCGTGCTCGGTGAGGCTGTTCTCCGGGTTTGCAGCAGATCGTCTGTCGTGTCGGGCTTCCGCTGACAGACACGGAGCCGTTCCTCTGAAGCTGTCAGGCCTGGGAGTATACGGCAGCAGCTGCAGTGTTTTCAGGACGGAGGGAAGCTTATAATTTTGAAACCCATCTCTGTCTGGGTCTCGGCAAATACCCGTACGGAGAAAACCCAGGAGCCTTTATAATCTCTCCCTCCGTTCGATTGCTTTTCCAGAGATAGAAAAATGTCAGTTTTATCAAGCGTGCTGCAGGGAAAGTCAGGAGAATATCACACCGTCCTTGAGACGCGCGTTAATGAGCGGCTAAACCCGTTAACAGCGCGGCGCGGAATAAATAAATAAAGGAGGACCACACTGTTGTTCCTCAACAGCAGCTGCAGACGGAAGATAACTTCAGCACGGGCGGCAGGAGCTGATAAGATATCACACACTCACTGTTTATTACGAGACAAACTGAAGAATGATTCTTTTCAACACGTTTGTCGATGTTTTGAGTAGTGATGCAAAGTCCGATTCATTTCCGCGAACCGGTTCTTTTAGGACAGATCGGGTCATTGAACCGGTTCAAAAAGCCGATTAATCGGTTCCTGACGTCATCAAGCAATAACGTCTCTACGCATTTCTTTTCTAACAACTCAGTGCCATGTTGTATCAATGAAAAATTCAAATAAGTCATTTGTTTCAACACATATTGAAACATTCAAAAATAAATTTATTTGTGTGAAAGCATATTGCTGATTATTACAATATAATTCACTTAAGTTAATGGTGTTTGTGGTCACAGTTTCATTCGAGGATCCTCAGATACGACTGACTGAGCAATATTGACTAGCCTACAACTCGGGTAAGATTCCTAAAAGTTTCACAGCTACAGCACACATTACAGACACTGATGCACAAACGTGGATATGTTCTACATGTCTACAGTATAAAGAATGAATAAACCTGTCTTACAAACTCCTTGATTTAGCTTAAGCAACTTTAAATATATGCATGCACAATAAACTATTGTACAATTTATATACATCACTCGACAGAAAGGTTTTTGCAGGTTTTAATAAAATGTAAATTAATAACAGTCATAATAAGCATATTTCCAGTACGCGCCTCAGGCTTGCACAGTATCGTCAACTCACTCATCAGAGTCTTCGGCAAACTTCGACAGTTGGTTGAAGCGGCTCATTCGGTTCTTGTTGAGTTGGACGTGCTTCTTCGGCTGTGCGTCCTGCGTCATCAACCCGGAACTAATGTTAGATTCAGTTCGATTTGTGAACCGGCTCAAAAGAACAATTCGTTCAAGAACCGAACATCACTAGTTTTAAGACAAACCGGGTCTCTTTCACGTCCGCGTGTACGATCGGTCGTTTCTTTTTTTTTTTGGCTCCATCTGTTGAAAAAGCAGCTGAAGCCTGTTGCATAAATTGCTTAGACTTGTACTACAGGTTGGTCATCAGATTTGTTCCTTTACCTTTGTGCATCAATTAAAAAAAGGTTACTCAGAGGACAAAAATGTCCATGTCTAAAAAACATGACATATCATTATATATATAGTTTATTTGTTTGTTTATTTATGTTTTGCTTTAATGCCAGTTTGTGTTTTTATGGGAAAAAAAACACCCGAAAGCTAAATTATTTTCAGTATACTAAATGCTAAACATATTTGTTTATTTATTTCTCTGACGTAGATCTTTTTACCGACATCAGTCCTGATCATAACTATCAAGAATGCATTGATTTT